AGTCTGGGTTGGCCTCCCAGCTGGGACCTTAGCTGGTGAGAAGAGGACCCCAAATATTTCAGGGGTCCCAAAGACCTCACTTCACCCCAGATCCCTGCCACTAGAGCACCTGTCAGCTCCTTTCCACAGACCCCGAGTCTACTCTCCTCTCACCTGCCCACAGCCTGGGGAGGGCACTGGCAGAGCCACCACAGGCCCCGGCCCCCCTCACCCTGATGGCCAGGCATTCCCCAGAAATGCACCCTCGCCCAGCCACACCTGCCCTCAGGCGGAAACTCTTCCTCCCCTGTTTCCTCAACCTCATCCTGTCCCCAGGCGCCAGGGCCGCCGGCCCAGATCCGCCCACTAATGATTTGTGTCTGGCTCCTGCAGAACATTCCTGGGGTTCCAGCAAGCCTCCTCCCAATTAAGAAAGTCAGAAGCGGGGTTCCCGCAGGCCCCCTGCACACCCCAGGGGTCAAGGGGTGCTCCCCTGCCCTGGGACAAGCAGGCTCAGCTACCTCCCTCTGACTGGTTTCTGAAAACCATCGGCCTGGGGTGAACCCAAGACGGGCTACAGACACCCCGGGACACCCCACCTTCCCAGGCACAGCCATAGTCCCTGTCTGGGCCCGTCCCTAAGAAGGATCCTGAGGTCCAAGTGCCCCGATGGGGCCAGGTGCGGGCTGGAGCCATGGGAATGGGTAGGGAGGACGCTCTCAAGGGGCGCCTGGGCCGAGGCAGGTGCGCATGGGAACTCCTGCAGCCTCCCACGCAGGAACCCTCCAGCGAGAGAGAGGGTGCCAAGTCAGAGACCCTGAAGGGGCTCCGGGCTCCTTCCTGCCTTCCAGGCCCTGCGCCCACTCTGCTCTCCACCTCATCCCCTTGCTCCTGGTTAATTCCCTCTCTTTGTGCCTCCTTCCATGTTTCATCCAGGGGCAGGTGAGGGGCTCCCTGAGAGGCTCTGTCTCTGCCCTCAGGTTGGACACGTGCTCAGGCTAGCCGCTGGGCCCCCTCGGACTCTACAGGTGAGCAGGAAACGCTCTAAGGTCACTGTGTCCGTCGACCTGACACAGCCCACGGAGGAGGGTACCTCGGCTCTTCGACTTGCTGCTGACCGCCTGGTCCACCACAGTACGACCCGCGCCCCTGGCCCACACAGGGGAGGAGGAGGATGGGGGTGGGGCGGCAAAGTCACAGGAAGAGGATCAGAGAGAAGAGCCAGGAGGGGAGGATCGGGGCAGAGGACCAGGGGTGGAGGTGCAGAGACGGAGCGCTAGGGATGGAAGAGCAGAGGAAGACCAGGCGGGAAGACCAGGGAGGAGGGGTGTGGACAGGCAAGAAGAGGCCGAGGGCCTTAGTGCCGAGGGCTCCCAGGGCAGCAAGGCCACAGGGGAAAGGCAGGTGGTCCCACGTTTCCAAGAGGGAAAACAGGGGAGCAGGGCAGGGTCACCTGCGCACAGGTCCGGGCTCCATGGATCACTCTGCCCACCCAGGGTGCCCCCTCATCTCTGACGCTGCCCCAACCCAGCAGCCAGGTGCAAGCTCCCTCCACTGAACTTCACAGCCCCCTTGTCCCTGCCTCTGCCCAGAACCCAGGAGTCCTGGAGACTGTTTACCTAACACTTCAGGTGTGATGTCCATGAAGGTTTTGGCAGGAGGAAGCACAACCCCTAATCTTCACAGCCCCTCAGATCAAGTGTGTTATCTGTGACTGTGACATCATGAAAACAGCTTGGGGGCCTCCCTGGTGGCGCAAGGGGTTAAGCACCGCACTACGAAGCAATCCGCAGCCTCTGCAGCATGAGTTCGATCCCCGGCCGGCCAGGGAACAACCCACATGGCACAGCAGACCTCTCCTGTCTCGCCTGCTGCTCCCCTCAGCAGTGTATTTCAGTCAATCTGCCTGTTCTGTTCCCTGCTCTGTCTCTGGTAGATCCTCTCCCCCCACCCCCGACACATCTCTGGCCTGTGCCCCAGCTCTTATGTGCATGAATAAATAAATCTTTTAGAAAAAAAAGGAAAAAGAAAAAGAAGGGCCTCCCCAGTGGCGCAGCGGTTGAGCACTGGGTTGCAAAGCTGCCAGCAGCCTCTGCAGCGCCGGTTCGATCCCCGGCCGCCTGGCAAGGGTCCCACATGGCGCGCAGGCCTCTCCTGCCGCACCCGCTGCTCCCCTCAGCAGTGTATTTCATCAGTCTGCCCGTTCTGCTCCCCGCTCTGGCTCTGGTGAATTCTCTCACCCTCCTGCACTTCTGCCTGTACCCAGTGCTTGTATAAATAAATAAATAAATCTTTAAAAAAGAAAAAGAAAGAAAAAGAAAAAAGAAAACAGCTTGGAACCCAGGTCCAAGGGCACAGCATCCATCCAGACTCCGGCCATGGGCAAGCCACATCCCTTCTCAGCCTCAGTACCCCGTGACTTCCATGACAAACTCTGCAAGCCTTCCACCAATGAGAGCCTGAGCTGGCACCCTGCCTGGCCTGTGCCTGTGACCCCCCCGGGGATGAAATGTGTCCTCCCTGTGCTGGGCAGAACAACAAACCCCAGATATGTCCCCATCCTAATCCCCAGACCTGTGACTATGTGCCTTACCCGGCAAAAAGGACTTTGCAGCTAGGAGGACATTAAGGCACTTGCCATGGGGTTTACACCAGAACAATCCACTGTAGAGGGAGGCAGGAGGGCTGGCATTGGAGGAGATGCGACAACAGAATCAGAGGGCCCAGCCATGCAGTCATGAGCCACGGAGGTGGGTGGACTCTGGAGAGGGTAACAAACAGGAGCCGTACGGCCCTGCCTCGTAAGACGCATTTTCAGATCTAACTTTCAGAACTGAAAGAGAATACGATGGGTGTCTCTAAGTCCCTAACGCTGTTTTTTGTTACAGCAGCAGTAGGAGGTGAATACACTCCCCCAGCCCATGGAGTGCTAGCCACTCTCACTTGTGTTAGAATTCGTTGGAGGTAGATCTGCTTTCCTTCTAGAATTATCCTTTGCAGTCAAAAGACAGCTTTCTGTTCCTCTCTGGAGCCATGATAAGGTCTAGCTCAGCACCCTGTGGCGCCTGTTGCATGGAGGCAGGCAGGAAGAGCCACGCTGGGCTTCACTCAGCACCATTCACTGCACGGCTGTCAGTGGGCCGGGTACTGAGTTTCAGCACTGAGTCAGCCAAGCCCTGCCCGGAATGCGCGCAGGTGTGAGCCAGAGTCCACCGCAACACAGTGCTGTTTGTGCAGTGATAAAGGTATGTGTGTACAAGCACCTGGGAGGAGCGACTCATTCAGACGGGGCTGCTGAGGACAGTTTCACAGGGAGGGACAACAAAGCTGGGTTTCGAAGCCAGGGCAGGGCTCTGCCGGGCCCTGGAGATGAGGTGAGAAAGAGCCAGGCAGAGGCGGGATGGCGCCTGGTGTGGAGGGACTCTGGGAGACTTGTAGTTGGACCGGTATTCCTGCTGGGATGCAACAGGAATGCTAAGGAAACAGACCTCGGAGGGCAGCCCATTGGCTCCCTGTTAGTTGAGCACCTACTGTGTGCCCGGCCTCTCCTAGGCTCTGGGCAGATGGTGATGGACACACCAGACATCTTTGCTCTCCCGGAGCAGACATCCTAGCGGAAGAGAGGAGGAGTAATCAAATCAGAGAATAGGGCCTCCCCGGTGGCGCAGCAGTTGAGTGCTGGGTTGCGAAGCTGCCCGCAGCCTCTGCAGCGCCGGTTCGATCCCCGGCTGCTCCCCGGCCACCGGAGGAGGGTCCCACATGGCGCGCAGACCTCTCCTGCCGCCCGCTGCTCACCCTCAGCAGTGTGCTTCGGTCCTTCTGCCTGCTCTGCTCCCCGCTCTGGCTCTGGTGAATTCTCTCACCCTCCCGCGCTTCTGACTGTACCCAGTGCTTGTATAAACAAAACAAACAAACAAATAAAATAAATAAAACATGCCTTTATTTAAAAAAAAAAAAAGACATTGTTAAAAAAAAAAAAGAAAAAAAAATCAGAGAATGGTCTGTTCTCCGTGGAAACACAGGGAACTTGCCCCTGTGAAGGGAGAAAATGAATTAAGGAGGGAGCCGTCATGTAGGAGGAAGGGCATTTAGGCTGCGGTAACAGCTAGGGCAAAGGCCCTGAGGCCAGACCAAGGCACTCCTTTCCAGGGAACAGAAAAAGGGCTAGTGCAGCTGGGGTGGAGTAAGCAAGGGAGCGAGGGGGCCGGTAAGATCAGGAAGGAACAGGGCCCACCCCACAGAGCAACGGCTCTGGTTCCTGTGCACAGCAGCCGGGCCAGTCAGTGCTGAGAGACAGGACTGAGAACCGCGCTCACGGCCTGGTCAGCCAAGCCAAGATTCATCCTTTCCACGGTTTTTGCTTGTTTTACAGCTGTCTTCCCAGCGCCCAGCTGTGCCTGTGACTCTCCAAGGAGTACAGGAAGTGCTAAGCGTTTCCCAAATGAAGGCGCGACTTCCCGGAGACCATGTGGAACTACGGTTCCTCGGAACTCATTTTGGGAACCACAGAAGTAGGAGAGCCGGCTAGAATGAAGGCTGCAGGGGACGCACCATGAAGGAAGTACTGCAGAGTGGACTTAATCTTGCAGCGTGGGCAAAGCACTGCTGCCCTGTTTTGCTTTTAATATGCCTATATGTAAAGGTTCCAATGATACATAAGGAATGTTCTTGATCTCTCCCTTGCCTGTTTCCCAGTTATTTCTATCTCTTGGAGACCCCCCTCATTATTAAAGTCCATGGTCCCTGAGCTGTGACTTATTTACTCCTGATCCTACTGAACCCTCTGATTTCCAGGAGTTTTTTGTTTTTTGGGTTTTTTTTTTTTTTTGGTTTTGCAAACAGTGACTTGATAAACCTTGAACAGAAAGCAGGGCAAACTTCTGCAAATAGATCCTGAAGGGAAATTTTAGCAGTGGGATTACGGAGTTACAGAACGAGCCCACTGTTTATTGGGATAGTGTTGCCGTATTTTCTTCCAGAATGAAATGCAAATCTTTCTTTTTTCTTCCTTGCATGGTTTTTTTTTTTTTTTTTTCATTTTTTTCCACCATCCTCCTTCATGCCCTTCAACCCTTTCTCCCACCCCCTTCCTCTTAACTTCAGAAAACTCACTTGTTCGTCAGCGTCCACTAGTGTTTATATGTATTTTACTCTGTGGAATCGTCCACTGTACGTGTGTGTATATATTTATATATATAAATATATACACATATACATATACATATGTATGTATCCCTGAGTTCTACAAATATTGGCTCCCACCAACCCACCAGGAATGAGAATCACTTTCCCCTCACATCCGCAGTCTGGGGCCTCATCGAGGTCTGAGGGTTTGTCTGCTGTCCAGTGTCTTCTTGAGAGTTGAAAAGTCCTCGCTTGGCCTTCGGTTTCCGCTCCTCCGTTACTGGTGAGGCTGAGCGTGCTCCCCTGAATGGCTGGTCCCTTCTTGGTGTCTGTGAAGCTGCTGGTCCTAATCTCGACATGTGTTTCTGGCGGGGCCTTCTCCTTCCTGAGTCAGGGAAGGAGGCCTCTGGCACGTGAGTCGCAAATGCGTCTTCCCAGGTGATGGCAGCAGGATGACTCTGCATTTTCTGGGCTGAGCAGGTGGGTGGATTATGATACTGACCAGGCTGGAGAAGCCAGAGGGAAAAGCAGGGATCGAAGGAAGAAAACAACCCGCCAGTCAGCACTTAGGACTTCTTCACTCATCCAGATGCAGGCGGGGCCCGGGGCTCCTTCTCCCTGTTTCCCCAGAAACAGATTAGCAAGTGGAGCTTGGTAACTGTAGGGAGAGAGGGAGGGGTGGGTGAGTATCTTGAGTCTGAGGTGTCTCTGCCCACATGGACATGTCAGGCAGTGAAAAGAGGCATTCACAACAGAAGGGACTTCCCGGATGGGCAGGCCACATCTCTTCTGAGCCAGCCAGTGTCCAGCTGTGTCCATCACCTGGCTACATGGAAGTCCTTTGTGGCAGAAGACAAAGCTGAGACTGCTCCTGGGGCTTCTGGGATGTGCTGGCTCCTTGGATGAGGCAGGAGGCACAGGCCGCTGGACACCGGCCAAGAAAGTGCTCACCTAGAGGCAGGCGAGGGAAGCTGGGAGCCAGCGAGTTCAGGGAGACTGCAGAGGCAGAGCCAGGGGCTGCAGCACTGGGGAACCTTCTAGAAAAGCCAGCTGGCCCAGAGGAGGATCTCCAGTGCAGGGCAGCCCGACCAGTCACATTTCTGGGGGGCTGCAAGGTCACTACGTGGAGACAGGAGATGGAAACTGAGCAGGGGAGGGGAGACATGATTTAACCACAGGTCAACTTCAGAAAGGAATTCGGTCTTGAGCAGACAGGGCCTGACAGGGAGCAGGGGAAGGGGAGAAAGAGGACACTGTGGAGCCCCACCTCACAGGGTCGTTTCTTCTGTGCTTGGTAGCTCCGGTGGGGAAAGCCAGGAGGCTTCCCCGCAGGACGGCAGGATCCGCTGCTTTCCAAGAATGAGCCTCAGTCAAAACCGGGCTCTGGAGCCCGCAGGCGGGAGACTCAAATGTGTGGCGGCAGCGCCCTCTGCTGGCCGCTCTGGGTCGCGCACCTCCGCCCGGGCACCCCGCGAAAGGAGAGGGACGGGGACTGGACCCGCCCCGCGAAAGGAGAGGGACGGGGACTGGACGTTGATCCTGCCTCGGGCTTCGCGCCGGCCTCCTCAGCACCTGCAGCTCCTCCCCCGCGTTCCCAGGACCCCCACAGCGCCGGGTGTCCAGGCCGGGTCACGGCGTCCATTCTCCCGCCTCCCGGTCAATGAACCAAAATCCCCTTGTGACGTGACCTGTGTGACGTAGCGTGTCTCCCCCCCCCCCCCGTTCTCCATTCCAAAACAGAAACAAACACCCCTCCCTGCCTCCGGCTCGAAGCCCTCCCCTCGCCATCCCATTAAACTCCTCCCCTGCGGTTCTACTCAACGTCTCTCCCCAAAGTCGCCCTTTCTACCCAGCGGCCCCCGCCCCCCGCCCAGTTCTGAAGGGAGTCAAGGCCCTCTGCGCTCTTGGGGACCCCCTGGCTCCTGTGGGCGCACCCACCCAGGGCACCCCCGGCTCTGCTCACAGGACATGGCGCGCATCTGCGCGTGAGCCGCAGCGAGGGCCGGGGCACACACCTGTGCCCGCTGTGCCCTGCGCTTGTGTGCGCAGTGAGTGTGTCCAGGCCGCACCCCACTTCGTCCGGGGGACTGCGTGGGGCCCCGCGCCCGCGGAGGCGGCGCCGAGCAGGAGGGAGCCGCGTCCTCGCCCCCAGAGGGCAGCACTGAGCCGCCGGGCGCCCTGCGGACCCTCCCGGGAAGGGCCCGGCCACCGCCCGCGGGCCGCAAAGGCTGCGGATGCCCCAAGGACAGGGAGGGAGCACAGCCCCCTATCCAGGCCCTGCGCGCCCGCAGGACGGGGCGGGCGCGGGGAGAGGCTCGTCTGTTTCTGAAGGGGTGTCAGCTCCTGAAGCCTGCACACGCCTGTAGAGCCCTCAGTCTGCTCAGGATCACTGCTGTTTTCAACGAAGCGTGACCACACGCTCCCCTTCACTCAGCTCTTCTGGGCAAAATCCAGGCTCCGAGCTCCCCGGGCCTCCCCAGAACTCCAGGGGGGACCCTGAGTTTGGGAGGAGCCTGGGGGAAGGGGCCTGCCTCTCCTGACACCCCGGGGTCACCTCCCAGCCCCTGTAGGATAAGGTGCACGCTCTCACAGCTCTTGCACACTCACCATCTCGCACACTCACACCACAGCTCACATGCACGTTTGCACACTTTCAGACTCACACATGCATACGCAAACACATTCACACATATTTACACGCTCACACACAGCTCATGTACCCAGCCATGTGCTCACAGACAGCACAGTCACATGTGCAGGCTCATCCACACACATTCACACACTCACACTTGTAGCTCACACCCAACTCGAATCTTCATAGATTCTTACGCACTCATGCACATGCTCCCTCCCAGAGTCCCACATTCACACACCTACAGCCCTCATAGTCACACCCATACACACCCAGATTCAGGTTCACAATCACAGACACACACACTCAGATTCCTTTCACCCACACAGATGTATCCACGTTCACAGGCTCCCACTCACAGTGCAGACGTGTCAGCCTTGCACACCAATACACAGTCATGTTCCCACACTCACATGCCACAGGCATACACGCCTGCACACGTGTGCACACCCACACAGGACAGCATTGCTCTCACATGCTGGACCTCGGGCCATAAGAGGGAGAGAAGGCACTTGCAGTCTCCTTGACCCCAAGAGACTCTAGAATCTTCTGGGAGACCTGATCCCAAGGTGGAGGGTGTTTCTTCTCAGACTGGAGGAAGCAGGGCCCGGAGAGTGAGACAGCCTTTGCAGCCCTCAGGGAACTTCCCCAAATTCGAGCGCCCCTTCAGAGGCCACTGTCACTCACTGCCCTCCTGAGGGAGGCCCCGGGATAGGACGGCGGCCGTGCCCTGACCCCGGGGAGCCCTGCTCCAGGCGAGACCCTGACCTCAGCACATGACTCAGCAGCCAACGTGGAAGCCTCGCTGGGGGGCTGTGGGAGCACCTGCGAGGGATCCCAACACAGCCCAAGAAGTAGAACCCCAGGGAAGAGTCTGAGCAGGGTCCTATACCCACTGGGGGCACGGGTGGGCACTGGCCTTCTGGGCAGATGGCCGGCACCTGCATGCCAGGAGACACAGGGGCCTGCCCCCTCCCAGGAAGCACAGGACGCCCAGACCAGGGGAGCAGGGAGCAGCGGAGCCGGGAGCAAGGCCACCTGTGCCCGCTGAGACGGGCCTTCCTCCGGAGATGGCGGCCCCCTGGCCGACTGCGCAGCACAAAGACAGTGCTGTCCAGTGGGGGCCCACGGCCAGTGTCTGGAGGCTCCGGGACCGGTGGGGGTCCCCTCCCAGGAGCAGGGCAGGCCCAGAGGCCCACCCCATGGTGCAGCGTGTGTCCCCCAGCTCCCCAGAGAGATCAGAAACACCACCCCAGGAGTGGGGATTCTCAGAAACACCGTGGGCTTCTCCCAGGCAGCCTGTGCAGCCCGGCTGCTGGCTCTAGGCCAGCAAGGGCCAGGGGATGTGGGGGCCCCACAGGAGGGAGCAGGGGGGGCAGCCTGGTGGGGCAGAGCGGGGGACAGGTGCTGGGTCCTGGCTCCCCAGCTGAGGCCCAGGCCTGCCAGAGAGAGAGAAGGGCGTCTCTGGCCCACACATCCAGCTGCCTCTCACCCTCCCAGCCTGTTCTGGCCTGTCCCGCCACACCCAGGCTGCCCTGGGCCCAGCCTCAGTGCCAGCTCCCAGAATCCTTCAGGGTTCAGAATCCAACTACGATAGCCTAGTGCAAATGTCCAGAAGCCCACCTGCGCGAGACAGCTGCCTTCCCTACACACACACACACACACACACACACACACACAGAGGCTCGCATGCACACACAAAGCCAGCCTCGGTCCCCAGACACCAGGGCAGAGTAGGGATTTCCTCCCACTGCAAACAGCACCCCCACCACTACCCCTGAGACAAAGCACTGCTTGGGCAGGGAAGGAGGGAAGAGAGGCAAAGTCCCGGGGTGCGGGGGCCCCTGGGAAGGAGGTCACACAGAAAGCCAGCCCCAGGGCCCAGTCCAAGGAAGACTGGGACAGGGATCCCAGGAGTTGCTGCCGCCCCAACCCGGTACAACCTCGCTGGGCCAGGGGCTGCACCTGCTGCGCCCCCTCCCCTCTGACGTGGCCCAGGATGTCCGGAGCCTGGCCTGCTGCCCCTCATTGCAGGCCATCCTCTGCTCGCAGCCTTTCCTCCCACAGCCCTGGTCGCCCTTCTTGACCTTCCATACAGGGCAGAATTCCCACGCCCACCTTGGGCCCGGGGCCAGGGCCTGTTGGTTCCCACCAAAGCCTGGGAAGTGGCTCCTGCAGCCCGGCTGCCCTTGGTCACCTGGGAAACAGCCAGCCCTGCCTGCTGCAGGGGCAGGACAGAGGGGACCAGCCCGGGCCGTGGACTGAGCACAGAACCGCTGAGTTGAACTGGGTGGCAGGAGGCAAGGTGCCCCCCACAGCTGTTTGAAACAGGTGGATTAAAACACTAGGTCGACCAGCAGCTGGCTAACAGTAGACAGGGTCCCCAAATCCCAGACTTAGGGTCACCACCCCTATCCCCAGCCAGGCTGGCCTGACCCACAGGGAAGCTGTGGCTGACAGGGAAGCTGCAGGGCTGCCATGGGCTGTGCAGGAGGGAGGGGTCCCAACACAGCCCATCTCAGGTCACTTCTTTAGTCTCAAGGTCACATTCCATCCACCAAGAGGCCAAGGGCCTTGGCGGCATAGAGGTTCCTGACCTCATTTACAGGAGAGGAAACTGAGGCCCAGAGAGAAGTGGGTTGTGGGTAGGATTTCACCATGAGTGATAGTTCAGGAGAGGACTGACCTTGAACAACCCAACAGAGACCCTCCCAGCCCCCGATGCCAATGCAGATAGCCTGGTGGGGTGTGGAGGCCACAGGAAGGCAGCTGTCAGCTGTGGGGACACGTAGCACAGGGAGCCTCTGCCCCCTGACACCACCTGGTGCCCAGAGAGCCCAGGTGGTGAGGACAAAGCTCCTGGGAGCTGGGGGCAGTGAACAGGTCGTGCCCTCCTGCTTCATCCTGGCCGTTGATGGGTCCTCGCCACCCCTATCCCCACCCACCCCATGGTTCTCGTCCCCCAACATTTGCTTACTGAAAACAAGACCCAGGCCCAACCACAGGTCTCTTAGACCTCAGCCTCCAGTTCTCCGAGTGCAAAAGGAAAAGGAGGAGTTACAGCAGGTGCCCCCCTCCCCCGCCTGCACCCCACCTAGCAAGGATGTGCAAGGCAAGCAGTTCCCACACCCTGTTCCAGGCACTGCCAGACACTTCCTTACAAGGCAGCAGCGCTGAGCTGTCTCCAGGGCAGGTGGGGGCCTGGGCGGGGCGCCATCCACCTGGCTTGGCCCAGCCCTGACGCACCCGCTTGTGAGGAATGTGGGCGCCGCCCGGACTGGCCCTGGGAAAGCTGCCACCCCCTTGGCTCCCGCCCGGCCTTGACTCAGTCTGGGTGGGCTGGGAAGCTGCCGCCTCAGCAGGACAGAGTCTCTCCCGCCCCACCCTCCCTGCTGGCCCTTGGGGATTGAAACAGAGGACGGCCTGAGAGGCCTAGAGCCAGACAGCGACCACCAGGTCTCTGGACTTGGGGGGCAGCAGGAACACTGGCTGACCTGCCCCTGTCCTGTGCTCCTGGGGGCCTGCCCACAGCACATGCCCCCAAATCCCAGGAGGGCTGGTTGTCTGAGTCTGGCCTATAGGACCGGAGCCCTGGTCAGGGCCTCAGATTCCTTCCTTCCAAAAGGGCCAGTGATAGCTCCCGCTTGCAGGACTTAGGGGGGTCGCCTCCTGAACCTGGAAGCATTTGACAGCAGAGGCAGAATTTTCTCTTGCCCTTGGCTGAACAGTCCCCTCAGCCTGTGCTGCTCATTCTTTGTTTCATGTCCCAGCTGCGTTCTCTTACCAAGCCGCCTTCACAGCTTCCTCCTCATCCTCCATCCCGTAACCCAGAGAACGTTCATCCACCTGCGCTTTGGTGAACTTCACCGATACATTCATTGGTTATAGTGGTTATCACTCTATCT